TGCTGTCAAAGGACATTTCCTTTAGCAAACAAAACGACCTTGAGACGTTTATCTTGAGAAATTGAGAAGACGAAAATTCCTTGAGACAGTCGTTGTTGTGAAACAATGGATATACTTCTCCGGGGTATCAAGGGTATTTTTGATTATTTGAAGTGGAAAACTGCTGCTTTATGGAAGAGCAAAGTTCAATGTCATTGGCCACAGTAATTCTAAATCGATGTTGGTTTTCAGAGGTGTTACCTGGTGAAGAAATAATAACATTACCATGTTTTCGAGTGTCTGGCTTTACGTCTTGTACTAGCCGAGCCATGCCTTGATAATTTATCAATATACATATGGTAGTGATGTATGGGGGAGATGAAATTGCTCTAAAATCACCAATTGAAGATGTACATATAAATTATTTTCGTTTTCTCTTGGGAACATCCAATAACAAATAACAATAACACCACAACAATGGACTTATACAGTGAACTTAGACGTCACCCATTGGAGACTTTTATCGGCAACAAATGATGACATATTTTAATCGTGTACAGAACTCGTCAAATTCATTATTCAAACATGCTTACCAAGAAAACAAAAAAATTAATAGAAAATGGTACACTAATATAGACTCCTTTTTGATAACATCAACCAGTCAAACCTGGTCGAAACAATGAAATTCTAACAGCAAGGCAATTAGGACAAATTAATAAAAATATACAAACATCATTTATATCAAATTGGAAAAGTGAATTACATAACGACAATCGATCAAAATAAAATGAGAAAAATAAATTAAGAACATACCGAGAATTAAAAAACAATTTTGCGCGAAAATTTAACTGAATTCCGCCTCAGTGACCATAACTTGAAAATTGAGACTGACAGACACAACGGAATACCCCTTGCAAATAGATTGTGCAACATTTGTGATCAGAATCAAGTAGAACAACCATCACCAGTTCTCTTGTAAACACTGATTTTCCCACAATCTAATACGCTCTTCTAATAGAAATCTCAAGTATGAAATTCGACCGGGACGCAGCTTGCACTTATTACCGCCGGTGTCTCTTTCGATACCTTCCAATCACCTAAAAATGTCTAATTAAAGCTAGGCAAAGTCTCAGTTTGTACTCTGCGTTGATCTGCGTAACATCCAAAGTAACCATCTTTGTTTATATGAGACCCATATATCTCACGCATGCGTGGCGTGACGACTACTGCCCTTTAATTGTTTTTAGTTACATGACTGGTAACTATTGATATTGCATGGTCTGTAGTCGTAAGGTGAGCGATGTCCTGCTCTTTTCCGGGAAGTAAGAGTGCTATTAACAACAAATGTGCGGATATTCGGGCTCATTTGATTGTTGTTCGTTTTTAATACACAGATCAATCATTGCGCATGACTGGCTCATGCACATGAAACACTATAAATACCAACTCTCGGCAGTCTGAGTGCAGCACTAATGCGATTTATCACATCTTATTGTTGTTACACACGCTGCGATTGGTTGAGACTCGGGCACATTACATTGAATAAAAATGAATAATACCTGTTATATTGCCCGATCATGCGCGATCGTCATACTACAGTCCATGGCATCACTTGTGACGCAATGCCACATTCATATTCGAATATGCCAGTTTGCACTTCATCGATACTTTATTCTCGTACTCTTAGGAATATTTCGTATTTCCAAATCTGCACAATTCGAAGATCCGAGTATTTACCCTTGAGCAGTGTTTAAACAAAACAATGATGCCTTTGCGCATGCGCATAAAATAATACTGTGCTTCCCATAAATATGTGAGTATAAATTGTTGTTATTGTATTAAATCAAAAAGTGTGTTTGACAGATTTGTATTCTAAGCGCAGAACATCATTGAATTCCGTCCAGGGATATCTAAAAGCGTTCGCACATTCTGTAGTAATTAACCAAGATGACGGGTGATACTATTTGGATAATATACGCCAATGTTGGGGTAAATATGACGTGAACTCTAATTCATTACTCATTGTATATGTGGTATTCAGAAAACAAGCGTGAAGTACTGAAAAATACCCCACCCCCTCATAAAAATCCTACTGAATATTTGTAATTTGAATATAGTACGCATGATAATAAGATATATACTAAGATATATATACTGGGTTTTTTACTTCCCGATGAACGCAATCAGTTGATCAGTCAAATTGATTAGGAAATGAAATTGACATCACACTGAACTGTGATGAAAAAATTAAGTAAATTAGCTCGGACAATGCGGAAAGTTAAGGTAAGCAATATGTTGTAGTAACTATGGTGTTTTGTCATGCTTTGTGCATTATTTGTTGTCATATTCTCACAATGCAAGAGAACAATGAAGGAATAGTGTTTGTCATTAGTATCACTCAGTTGGTGTAGATGTGTTCACTAACAGCCACTGCGACACAATGCTTATGTGAATCACGCCCTCCCTTCATCCAGCGCAAACCTAACCAGAGCACCCAATTTGTTCCATTGCGATACAAGTTGAAGCAATTAATATTGATTACCCAGAACTGCAAAACATATTATATGCACCTATGGTTACCAGATTTACAATATTTAAAGCGGAGAGTCGTCACCTGCGCATGCGTCAGATGGCCATAGCGTGTCATTGTTTACAAACAAGTGTCTACCCATGAGTCTTTGCGTTTTAGTGTGTGTTCTTATGTCGCTTGGGACTCCATTCCCGCGCGTGTGCAGGTGACCACCCTGCTGCTTTAATACTTATGTACTGATTATTTTTTTATTGTTTCAATATTATTATTATACAATTATATTTATTTTTAAATACTATTAAATACGCGTCTGCTTACAATGTGTGCTTGTTTACAAGACCTTACTATGACGTCACTTACATTATATGAATGCCATTGCTGTCTGTTGATTTTTTTGTAAACAAACACCTACAACTATCTCATTAGCATCAGAATGAGCTCGTTGTGGTTCGGCAGATTCATTTGTATGGCCAGACACCAAACTTATTGCTGTGCATATGATTACATAATTGCATTTTGGTGGCTGTAGGCGCTAAAATTTTGTATGGATATAACAAATATGGGTTCCGGAAAATTTCAACTACTCGTGAAAACGGTATTATATATTAAGTTTACTTTTCTAAATAGTCAGTCACCAATGATAACACAACCTATCCGAACTTTGTCGACGGCCACCATTTTTAACTGATATAGCAATTGAAATATTTTTTAACTACAAATACTATAAACACATTATTTTTTTGCTGGTTTTTAATTTCGCTACTTTTTATTTATAAGTAAATAAACAACAGAACTCATTATTTCCCTGCCAATTTCTTGAACTTAAAACCCATTGGAATTGTTCAAAACATCAAAATAATGAAATTTGAATATCAATGTAACCGTATTGGTTTAATAATTTGCATATGAATATAAGTAAATGCACAATTTTGCAAATCGCGTCTGTTTTATTATGTTCAATTCCAATTTGTAAACTTTTATCACATTACAAAAAATGAAAATTGTTCATAATTCTAATATTTTTGTTCACATTTTTGTTTAGCTTGATATAATATTTCCCGTGTGTTCTTTTGCGCGGCGTATCCGAATTTACAAGGCTTCGTGGTTTCATGACATCATTTACTACTTTCTGCCCTCTTCTACGACTTCACTGCATCGGTTCATTGCCAGGACGCTTCGTTAGTACGCTGCCGGTTGTTTGTCAGACACAAGCAGGGTTGAAAAAATAATGATACGAATACGTGAACCATTTTTTTTAATCATTATTACATGATGTAGTAATGGAATAAAATATTATGCGAATCAAGAAAAGAAGCCTTTTTACACGTAATTTTCTGCGCGTGAAAGGATAATTTCCACCCCACTCGGTAACCCTTCATTACTTGTAGGAGTGTGTGTAGGAGGTTAGTGTCATGCGAACAAGCGATATCTTACGACAACATTGTCATTTAGTTCGCTTACTATCCATTTGGCAACGAGTTATTTAATACATCAGATTCACAGGCTAAAAGAAGGACTGTTATTATTCACATCCGAGACAAAAGTAGCATGGACTGTACATTTAAACAAATCGTTTCTCCACAAAAAAACTGGGCACGGATATGCACATTTCACTGCTGGAAACTCCATATTAAATTAAAATGTTATTTGAGTAGAAGTTGATTATATCGCGAAACAGTATGAGACCCTCGCAAATGTTATACACCAGTAGCTCTTATGAAAAGTACAGAAAATTATGGAATGCGGTCTCAAAGCTGTCTACATTAGCGGCGACGGGGTTCAGATCTACGGGCTGTAGATTTCCCTTGGCATAGCAAGTTTATATGTCTCCGCCCATCAAATTCTGTAATATGTAAATTTGTGACGTCATTGAAATTCTCAATAATATTAGGAAAGTCATATTTAAAATAAAGATGATATAGTTAACGATTTGTAGTTTTCCCAAGAAGCAGTGTTGATTTCAAAATTGTCAAATTGTTTCTTTGTTCATGGTATAAGTCGGTAATTTGACCTCGCGTGGTTTCTACTCTTATAAACTTGTAATTACCAATTACCTAATTATCCATATTAATAACGGGCAGAAAATAAACGTCTAGGTGCAAATCATAAGCATTACCATGACTACACATATCAGTGTTTGACTTTAATATGTATTTAAAACAATATTTCTGTTTAGCTCACAAAATAAATACTACCGGTAGAAAGCTAATACCAATTCTGTCTGTGTTTGCTGTTTTATTCGCTGAAATACAACAGCTGGAATGCAGTGATTACAGAGCTATGTCACGAATTGGGCAGATGGAGAATCGGCATTATGAGTCGGTTCATTTGATTGGTTGTTTTGCGATGCAGTCGAGTATACTACGTTCACGTGGTTCTCGACTGAAGTTGGTCTGACGTTCATGCGCCCAACGACGACATGTCGGTTATCACTACTGATGTGTGTCGACATAAATAATGATATTTAACCTGTAATCCAACGCAAACCATTAGAATCACTGGAATATTCACCAATTGCTAGGCCCGTATCGGCAATACCACTGCCGACACCAAGACCATTGTGAAGCAAGTATTTGCCAATTTGTTGGACTGATCCCGTTCTGTACTAGTAACACGTGGCATAAGCTATGGTAAGTCATTTATTTTTTTGTAAACACCTTTACATTTTATTTTATAAGAGTTAATTAGTTTTAAAGTTTGATGTATGTGATTATCATTTCGAATGTTATTTCTAAATTATTAGTCCATACTGAATGCCAATCATAGACAGTAAAATGTTCGAATCGACGAATCCATTATTTTTGCATATACATATTCTGAATAAAATGACGTGTTAGCAGGTTTGTGGTTTATGTATATACCCTACTGGAGGGTCAATGGTTTATCCGACTGTTTGTCAATATACATTTTTTTTAAATGAACACACACGATGTACTTTCACTGTAAATGCAATAATTATCTGATAACAAAATAACAACCAATAATAACTTTTTACCGATAACGAAATGCATTGTTGAACAGATAACCTAATAATAATTTTACTGTTATTAAAGTTATAACTAATAAATTTCTAGTAACGTTACATCTCTGATTTGCATCAGCTGAAGGAAGGCCGGGTTATCATGACAATCCTCGGGGGCGGAGCTACGTCACAGACGTTCTACGTTGCTAAGACGCGCACCACTGTACCACGTATTTCTATGGGCTCTGTGCGCGCTGCTGTGGAACGCCGGTGGAGCCGGTGAAAATTCGAGAAAACAACACAAACTCAACTTTGAAGTAATCCTGAACAACCAAATTCACATGTTACACACGTAGGGCTAATCTTGTTACACTGTTCAGGGGACCCTCATCAACCATCGCAAAGTACCGTTTTCTGCGAGTTTTTGGTCTTTGTTTTCACCGCGAGGGTTGCCAGGCGGTAGAAAATGCCCGGATGTCCGTCCCCTAGGATACTGTATTTAGCCTGAAAAGTAGGCGTGAGTAGGCCCTCGCCGGCCGAGCGGCATCAGACCTCACTTACGCCTGACAGAATAGTGCACGTCTCGTCGGAAAGATCAATACTGCAAACTCGTGAAGTTCACGTCTTCTTGCAATGAGTTCAATGAATATTCATTTTGGTGGTCATGACCGTCAATCAAAGCCATGTTTGCATTGTCAGCAAAAATCACAGACTGTTTGCCAGCACCTTATCACACATATCAACAAACAAATAAACTCTGCTGTGAATGGTTACTCTTTAATGGCCGTTACTATCTGACATTTCTGCAATTTGATTGGTACCGACAATAAATCGTCAGGGGAAGTGAAAAACTACATCGTTCTGTCAGGCGTGTGTTGGGTTTGGAGCACCGCGGAGGGCGCAACTCACGCGACCTCATCAGGATACACTATACATTACATAACTGTGTGGGAATAATGCTATGGCTGCACTTAAAAATAGTCCAAACTTTCTTATTTATTAAATCATTACTATAACACAATTTATAATTATTTATAATCGCATGTTCGTGGGAAACCAAGCAATATTTTGTTTCCCCAAGACATTGTTTTGTGTGGTTACTACACAGAAATAAATAAATAAATCATTTTTATATGATGGAAAAAGAAAGTTATGATTTGACACATATATTAATAATGTAAATTTATTTTGCTATAACTGTTTATTTCTAACTGGACGGCAACTAGATTGTATCTAGGAAGTATTGCCTGACACATTTTGAAATGCCATGTTGTGAGATCAATTTTAATTTTATGATGTCTTTTTCTAAACTGGTCTTGAAATTTCTAGGTGATAATTATTACAAATTATGGTGATTATCATTTATAAAATGTAAGTGGACATGTGAGAACACAAAAATGGAATTTCGTTGCATCCTATTTTGTTAAAGTCTCGATTCGTTGCCATAGTTACATGTTTACAACAGGAGAATTAATTGCTGAAATAATAGCTTATATTTGTGGCCACTTAAAGTGCCTGTGAAATGGCTGCTATTTTCACGCCTAAAATTATCCATTGATACATACATATTATTTTTTTATGTTTCTAAGCATGAATTATTTTTTTAAGTGAAAAAATGTGTTTTAAACTCAATCTGCGGCAACTTTATTTTTGTGTATTTTAAAACGAGCTATCGTGTCATCAACGATAACACAAATATTATAAATTATCAGAATACCGATAAGATCATTATATTGACATATTACAATATCGGTGAATTTGTTATTACATTATCAGTTCATTGAATTATTGGTTAAAATCAATTATTGAATAGAGATAGGAAATATTTACGTTAGCGGTTGTAACAGCAGCGATCAACACTGCCTAATGCGTTTTACTAAATATGACTATTCAAACGTATTGCATTTCAGACTGACGGTATGAACGTTCTCGCACAGAGAATATTTTTCTTCCTGTTGACAACCGCAGTTGTGATGATGTATTACTATCAAGCAAGATATATGACTAATGCACAGACATGGTAAGTGACATCGTCACGTGATGTTCTGTGTCCGAGTAAGTCATAACAACGCCATATTGTATCATCGTGGTTTGCTGTCAATTCCATTGTTCCTTTTACAAAACTATTTCTTGTTAATGTAATGTAATGTATATTAAGTCGAGGTTATTACCAGAATACAGCAAAGTCCGCCCAAAGGCAGTACGGGGTCGCATTGGCCGATGCATATGGTCGTTGTACTTCTTCATGCATATCTCGTTATAATTTCATTAATATCTAGGAACATTTGTGTGGCAATGTTAATTTTCAATCAACTTATAACCTGCTTATTGTGTACATGGTTACAACTTTGAACAATAAAATTTTTAAATCAAAGATGTTTTACTTGTAAGTTAGTGTGTGTGTACTTGCATTACTAATGTAGCGAGGACAAAAATACATATATATACAAACTTCCGAGGACCTTTTTCATAATCTTCGGAAAACTTAATTTATATGTTAATAGTGAATTCGACTATTAATACGTTTTGCGTAGCTAATTAGGTTTAATAAAGTGGGGAAGTATGGCGCAGTTTATATCACTATTAATATAATTGTACCATACCTTCCCCCTTTACGAAACCTAAGCTACGCAAACATTTCTATGTTCAGTCTCGCGATATTCAACTTTTATTTAATTAACCTTATTTAAAACGCAATTGTACTTTGAATTACATTGTGCTGTACATGTAGGTAGATCCAGGACACATACGCATGCAAATCGTACACTATTCCACCCAACGATTAATTCTATGGTTCTATGCCAAATATATTTTTTTATTTTACGAAAAATCATATATGTTCTGCTTAAGATTATCAAACAATCATTGTCATACTATCTAGATATTCAACTTTTCATCTGTAATATGTAGTCTATTTCTATATTAGTCGCAATACCCAAATAATGCTCTATGAATGTTTGCTGAAAACAATATTACAATCTTAACAATACTGTTAAATTATAATTCAGACATAGTTCGAACATATTCATGTTGTGTATATATATATATATATATATATATATATATATATATATATATATATATATATATATATATATATTGTAGTCTCGATATTATTTTTCAATATTATAACGATATTTTGTCTATCAGCCAAGACATGTCGTGTTTTAAAATGAAGAGACACTTACCGCCGTGCACAAGATGTCCAACAGGCTTGAGGAATTGTGAGAGTCTAGCAGACTTGAGGTACGTAACGGCTGACAGCAGAGACAGTTTGTAAGATTATAACATAGACAAGGTTCAAGGTAATAAAAACCGTAATACAAATATTAAGTGCAGTGTTCCCAGAAGGTGAAATTGCAGAATATGTATATTAAATATGCAAAATACGACGTTTCTGATTGGCTTAACCTAGGCGTTCTTGACACGTCTTGGGCAGAAAATCAAGAACAACTTTTGGTTTTTTGAGATATTTTCTCTTTATTTTGTATTTTTAAAATTTTCACGACATTTTATAATTTCTGAATTTTTGATTTTGAAAGATTGAGAAGTTGAGATAAACGCAGTAATCTTACCTCAATGGGACTGCCAAAATGCTAACATGTACGAACCATTCAAAACCGTACAATAGACTATTCTTCCGTTCACTGCGAGATCCCGCGTTTTGCTCGAAATGAAAGGTCTCAGCGTCGCAATAGCGTCAAAACATCTCGTAGGATTGGACGAACGCAAAAGCAGTTTTATTTTCAAGGTTAATTAGAGGCTATACACAATTATGGCCAATCCTGGTGAAGTAAAGGTATCTTAACGCCATAGTACACAGTGAACGATATACGTTTCGACATTGAGCAATAAAAACAAAATTCAAAATTATATCATTGGATTTTCGTCAGACGTTTGGTACTCGCATTTCACACGAAATCTCGCAGTGTACGGATAATCACCTATTAATTTATCACTTTTTTTTCTCATTAGGAACTATTTTTCGCAGTATATAGATCTGAAAAAAACAATCGCAATATATAAAGACCAAAACAAGCTCGACAGGCGTTGTTGTCCCCAAAAATTAAACTTTGGGACTGAATCTGAAACGTATATGGAAATGGTAAAGGATTTTTATACCATCGAACAACAAAAAAGCTGTGCTATTGTGGGGAATGGCGGTATTTTGACACACAGTGGATGTGGTTCTGAAATAGACCAACACGATTTTGTGATGCGATTGAACCTGGCTCCCGTGAGTGGTTACGAGAAAGACGTCGGCGGAAAAACTAATTTTACTGCAGTCAATAACGTTATTATTCATCGTTTCTATGAAAATATACAGAAAAGAAACCAGAAAATGCACAGATACGTTAATCAGTTAAAAGACTTGAAGGATTCGATTCTGTGGTTTGGATACAACAAGTCTGCAAAAGTACCTGCAATGGGAAATGCTAATAACAAGATGCAGACTATTCTTAGAACGACGAAAATGAACCCAAGTAAGATGAAGTATCAATTGGCATATTCTATTGTTCCAGTATGGCCAACTATTATAAGCCGGTAAGTTCAGTGTCTCTCAACCTCATCTCCACACTTTCCTTCCTCCCCTGGGACATGTATAGTATTACCGTTCCGTTTCAAGCATCCTTCATATGACGTAATCTGGGTCTGTGACCCATTCCTTCGTTAGTGGCGCACTGCAATAAGGAACGGGCATCAGATTTGCAGTTTAACACAGTGCGTCACTTTCGATGGAATGGAATATATTACGACGATATTCAATTTAATAAGATGTGCAATGGTGTAATTTGTCAGCGTCTCTCGAACACTGTCCAATGATTTTATTCGAACATTTATAAATCTGAAAACCATTGACCAATCAGAACGATCGCCTCTTGTACTTGTATGTGATTGTATGTATTTATATATATAATTTACATAAATACGCACGTCTTTCGGCTGGGCTCCGTTTTTCTACCCTTTCTGTACCAAAGTGAATTCTATTTTCAGTTCAACTGTTCAGAGGTTCTTCTGTTTAACGTTTTTTTTTTTTTTTTGGTGTGTTTTTTGTTTTTATTTGAGTGCCTTTAGAGGCTGTGAATTCTGTGAATTCGGCCGAGGAGGTCTGTATGAGTAGACTCAATACTGTTGCCGATCGTTATATTTACAGTGAACCTCTAGTCAAACCTGCTACGAAAGTTGTCTGGTTTCCTCTGTTTTATACCCAACAGGGAGAGCGTACCGAATGTATCTACTATTTTAGCGAATTTGACTCAAAGCACGAATTAACTGAATCTTAATTATCTAAAGTGCCAATAATCTCATTGTGAGAATGTACTCGATTCTAATTAGAAACATCTTAATTTAGTGAAATTGTGGATTAGCTAAATTAGCTAACATGCTAGCTAAACAAAAAACATGTTTTACAGTATCTATTTACGAAATTAACTGGTATAAATGACAAAAGAAAGGACATATTCAACATAACTGCAGGGTTTACAATCATTCTCCAAGCAAGACGGTCAACACATAAGTACAGCGTCACTTGTTGACATTGAAACGACACAAGCACTGAGCAGAAACAAAACACCTGATAATGAAGTAAAACTCCAGCTAACGATGACATGCACTGTAAGACTGATTAATCGACTAAACCCATAGTAACTGGTAATATTACCGAAAACAGAACAACTGATGAAAATAAACTGAAAGAAATGGAAATGACCCACTGAACCAATGTAGATGTATATTTTCCCATTGTGTCAACACAGGTGGCGCTATTTAGCACAATATTGCATTGACACTCGGATCGCCGCAAACCAACCGAATAGCGCCACCTGTGTTGACACAATGTGGAAATAGTTCCGACCACTTTTCCCGTAGTTCTTACCCGCTCACTGAGCAAATTTAAGCAAAAAATGCTGATACAAGTCATTTCAAAAATATGATTCCCAGGAAAAGCCATCAGATGAAACGTTAATATTAAACGCGTTTTTTTTCTGCAAAACAAGGCAGAAAAACTAATGTATAGTCGAATCATGTAGAGGCCGCATCTCTTTTCCCCATGATACTTCGCACTCATCAGGTGTTGCAATTCTTTCAAACCCAAAGAAAAACATTAAAGTATTGAGCGTCCACAATGTTCTTCCCGGTCGACATACTTCATGTCCACGTCGATTTTGATATACTCCACCAAACGGGTTGGAACAACTGGAATTTTTCAGTTTTCAAGCATTTGTTGAATGACCTTAGTTCAGATCCCACCGACATTGACGGGGGTTTTAACTATACGACAAACCCGGACGTGGATAAGGTCAACAGCACTGAACCACACCCTTCATCTGCTAACATTGAATCGTGATGAAATATCAGAACAAACTCATTGACGCCTGACGTCACTTTAATACAAGCTCTGTACAACATGGAAAAGACGCGAGAGTAAATCACGTATTGCAGAGAATGTTACAAATACAAGTATTTCACCCAGAATTAAATACACATCTATTCAGCCACACTTTGTCTGATCACCATCTTGTTCTTTCGTGACTTACTTTTAAACAGGTTAATAACAGCAATCCCATTTGGTGTTATAATTAATGTCTTTTGCATGACTAAGAGTAATGTGAAATCATTCATGGTTGTGACGGAAAGTGAAATCACAACATGACAGTCTACAAACTTGGTGGAACATTGGAAAATTAAAAATCAGAGAAGTATAAACACAATACACTGCGAAACTGACAAGCAATTACAAGCGGGTGAAAGATACATTGTGTGAAGATATTGAAAATATCGAACGACTTTGTGACAATGCTAATGGTAATCCTCAATAAGAACTGAACGCTAAGAAGGTTTCTATTAGAAAACATAGTTAAAACAGAAACTAAAGGGGTGGCTAATAAGTCGCGGCACAAAAAACTAAACTTAAGAGATGCACCGAATGCCTTTGACATCGAAAAGCGTAAAGGGTGTTAATAAAGTCATGACCCAGCTTCATCGTGTGGACAGTGCCACCACTAAACTGCGTAATCAAGTCTGCCACCTTGCGAGGGGATTTTACTCCAACTTGTTTTCCGCTGACCTAGTTTCATTGGAATGTCAATCGAATTCCTGATGACCCTCCCCCCAACTCTATGAACACTTAACTAGTCAGTGGAACGACCCCGTCGATAATGTCGCACAATTACGAACATTGAACTTTTACACACCAAATAATATTAAAACAAAGTTCATCGTTAATACTTTCATTGTTCTATTTATGCTATTTAATATTTTCCCCCGCAAGGATTCACTGTGACTGTTAATTTATGTACTATGTATGAGTAACTGCGTCTGCGCAATTGCGCCTCTGTCCATGTAATCAAAAGTTGAAATGGGACATCATCGTTTAATTGATCATTTCGGGTGATCAATAACGAAACATTACATAGTATTCTTGAAAATAACGTGCTCAAATGATTGCTTCCTGAGTATATTCGATCTAACATTTTTTTTTCATTTTCACTTTAGTGCATGGAACACTTCGCAAGGTACTAGTGAAGGGTATATCGTATTCACTTTAGCAACATTATTCTGCGATAAGATCGATCTGTACGGCTTCTGGCCATTTCATATAGGGCCACAGGGTAACCCGGTGAGCCACCACTACTACGATCAACGAAGTCGATACACAAAAAAGAAGCAAACTATGCCAAATGAAAACAAAGTATTACTTGAACTAAACCGAAGAGAGATTATACGATGGGTAACCTCTCCGTGTGTTACATCGAAACACAACCAGTCATTGAACAGTTAATCGTGTTGGTTATAATTTTGTGAATAAAGCTTTTTTGTTGTGACTGTGTTTTGCTTCCTTGATATTCTACCACATTTTTTTTCTCGATTAAATCTCTGGCTTAAATAGCCAAACGTATTCCATTCTTTCCCTGACCTATCAGGGTATTTGAAACAGTGGATGCAATGGCGAGAAAGAATGGAACACTATGTGATGGACAAAAACATTTCTCGTGATATCGCTCAGCAAATCTTGGAACGATAGGATTGATCAAAATGTTGACAAGTCTGTTTTGATTAAAATTGAACTGTTTTGCATTCAGATCAACTTGTATGCATTTCTATTATTACAAATTACAGTAGTGTAAACTTCGTTTATAGTTTGTTAAATTAAAAATGCTCTAAATTTGGGACACACAACAAAGTTGTATTAACTGTCGACTCCATAGCGAAACGGCAACATTGCCAGCTAAGTTGCTGACTGGTTTTACGCACATCTCAATATCGCCAAGTGATCAAAACTGGTCATTTCAAACCCTTTTCATGAAGGTGCGCCGTTCTAGTACTTTGGTTCAAAGTGTTTTCAATAACTTTTACTAATGACAAGTTACCTAATTAGTATGCGTTTCGAAAAATTACTGTTAGTGATTTTTTGAACGCAATAATTCGCACGTAGAACTCGCTCCAGCAAGAAACAATGGTTGAAATATCACGAAGGAACTAATCTATTAAAGAACCATCCAAAGTACACGTATATATAGACTGGCGCAGTCGGGCGATTAATTTGTTTTTGTAGTTTAAATAAAATAAAAAAATTCGCGAAAATGGAGGTGTTAGCGCGAAATCCCCTGTAACTGCGAAATCACCCCCGACTGGTTTATTCTGCATAGCTCTCTATCGACACCGCAGGAATCCGTCGATTTTTCAACGTGTAATTATGATTAATTTAGATTAATTACTTGTCAATTATAACACAATGCTTTTCATACGACTTGCACAGGCTTCAGTTCATAACTTGTTTTGATGACTGCCTGCAACAGATGGTTAAAATTGCAACTACCACTCTCAGCACACAGTAATGTGTTCACTCGTCGCTGGTTCCCTGGCAAGTGACCAGCCAAAAATCTCTTTCCAGTCTAGATGTTCGAACCCGGGTGGCTACTGCTCGGCACATTACGTTACTACTCCTCTAGGTGCTATTTAATCCAGCATAAGAAATGCCGCCACTAAAATGTGACTATTACTATTGATATTTGTGGCGGCCATATTTATGGTACAATGATAACCCAAATGGCTGTTTTCTCATGAAATTGCTGCAACCTTTAATTGACAATTGAAAAAGTTAAATCGACGGAGAGCTACTTACAATGGAAACGTATCTCTTTTGATGTAGTTGTATATTTTGGTGATGATAAATAGAGAGCCTCTTCATCTTTATGAAAGCCTTTCTGTAGTGGGTCCAGTAACACCTAATGCGCAATGGTGGATTGGCCCCATGCTATAGACTGGATATGCATTCATTGGATGCGTTGTATCAGGTCACCAACTGTGGGTGGAAATGTTGTCACTTTCGGCAGTCTCTGAAATTCAATGCACTTTGGACAGTTAGCTGCACATACAAATGTTGACAAATGAGAAATTTTATCTTCAGTAATTTCAGCCTCAACACAAAGCATCTACAAGGACTTGATAATTCCATCATTACCTGTGAGATATAACTGGAGCCATGTTGCTTTGCCTATGTACAAGAACTTCCAGTATTATATACCCCTGTGAAGGTATGAAATGCAGGCAAAGAAACCGCCAGATATACGTGTCAGCTTCCTCGTGATGTTGACATAAAATTGCAAATTACCATTGCTTAATATTTACAGATGCTGACACAATGAACAACTTAGATATTCTTTAGTTGTATTTTTTGTTGCTAGACACTGCCTTAGTTTGATCATAAGAAAGAAATCGACTCGTGTGTTTAATGACTGTATCATCCTTGATTTTATATTGGAACTCGTCTTTGCTATGATTTTTTTCATATCATTAGTCTAAGATTTACTGGGATTAGGGACCAGCGTTGTCACGGATCTTGATTGCATTCTCACATTACCAGTCTAGTGCATCTTCTTTCTTCACTGGCGCCCATAGACTTGCATTCTCTTTTATCTGCTCTGATGCATTAATTTCATGTAAAATTTGTCCAATATCGTCAATATTCAGGATCTGAGGTACAAACACTTGTGGGACAAATACACAGGCCTTGTGAAGTTACATAGTGGATTACCATGACTCATAGCTTTCTTGATCCTATAAATTTGCACTATGCTCCTGGCTCACAATACTAGATGCAGGGTTACGATGCTCTCTATCCCCTTTGTTTTGAGATACCACTCTGATCAGAGTGAATCTTCATTAGCCTATTCAGTGGTTTACACGCATAATCGACTCCAATGGACATAAATGGGATATCATTCTCAGACTGATCTGATCTGTTGTCAAGCTCCTCCGAGGTCTCTGGATGGATCCTAAGATCATACATATCCGACGTACCTCGGCCAAAGTCACTTGTATTTATTTCGACCATTGTCGCATACGACTTATTTACCACTTCCGTGTCAATGAGAATGTTCTAGAACCGTACTATGTCTGGGTGGAATATTCTCGATTTTTTTTAGAAAATGGTTGAATATGTAATAGAACACTGTAGGAAGCAATAGAAGGTAATGGAACATTCTAGAAATTTGTAGCAAGTGCCAGACTCATTATGTATGCTGATGTAATGGTCTATTTATAGACAGTGGAGGTATATATAGGGGAGTTGTTCAGCACTGAGTTCAGATCGGAGATCTCGTTGAAATGTTATTGGAGTTTAAGTATCTAGTCATTGGAGTAGTGGAGTTTTACCGCGTTATTGTACTTGATGTTTGCAGAGTATAATAATACCAGTACCAGTTGAACCTCATCTGTTGGCTCCGTGTTCGTATTTTATCATCGCCGCCAGGAAAGTCTTTCTGTTACTGTTGCCATTTTGGTATTTGAACCATCGCACCTGTACTATACCAATTACGGTAATATTACGTTGCGTGTGACAACCATCACAAAGTATAGTTTACTCGGTGCCTCTCCAGATTCGAAATAAAGTGTTTAATCTGCTTTGGGAGATGCTGAGACAAAGATTACGTTGAATGTAGTTGATCATTGATTTGAATATGGCATTCCGAGATCGCTGTGCCACCCAGTCATGAAACTTGTGTACTACGTCATTACTGCATAGCGTTGCTAGAAAAATATTGTACTAACAACATGTCGCGTGTACGACAAGTGTTACAAACATGGTTAATTATGCCATAATTTTTGGCATGTTTAATTAAACGTAAAGACTTTTTACAACAAGGACACCCTCTCTGGATGAGCTACTTAATTCTACTTAAAGCTACTATTGACCAGCAATCACTCATATAGACTTATTAGTAGGTCGAAAGTACGTTGTATATGTGACGTCAGAAATGTATTTGTTTCGATAACATTTATCCACTACGAACAACGTAATGACGCTGCAGTCAAAAACTATATCCAATGAAGAATCGAAATAATAATTCAATAGTTATGTATTCAATATTGGCCTGTCTGATTCCTTGTATACAGGGCATTTGGCAGAAGCTACATACCATGTGGACTAACCATGGGTTATTTGAATATCTATGAATATGTCGGTTTTGTTATAAAAACGAAGGATTTGTGATGTATATAAAGCGGATAAGTCAATCCCAAGCTTTCAGAATATTTATAGGAATGCAAGTCTCCAAAGATTACCAACGAAAACGTACAGTGAACCTGACTAGAATAGAACTGAGTGGATAACAAATGAGTGATATGAGGTAAAAATACGAAAGAATGCTTACGAATCGTAAGATAGTCAGGCTTCAGAGAGGCGTTTAAAAGGCGTCAGTGAATTCGAATTTGCTGCTATGGCCGCCTATGCCAGAACTATTATTCTTCCTTAAAGCAATATTTTAAATAAACTTTTGTTTGTCACGAGTATGAGGTATTTATTACCCTTGCAAAAAATGAGTTATTCGGACTGAAATTCTCACATTAATACAAACGGTCCATTGTACAATTTTTCGTCTGATAATGTTTGTGCATATACAGATTAGTGACGTTTAGCGTTCATACTGTAAAATTTGAAACATCGTGTTAAAATATTAATAGTTATGATCATGTGATATTGGTATTGACAAAGTTGTAATGGGAATTATATCTTAATTTTGATGCAGTGGTCATGCAGAAATAAACCCATACTGTAGCCATAATTGTGCTCGAATACATCATCAAATATGCCATTCGTGTTCACAGCTAGTCATTGTATACTCACTCAATTAAGTACTCCAAAAACATCAGAAAACAGAAATATCAGCAAATTGTCTACCAATTAATCAATAGCCAGGCAAGTTAATATTTGTATAATTCAACCAAATAATTGACTGCACATTTGATTAGTGAAGATTCGACTTGTATCCATCATCGTTTTCAAAGTTTCATTGGAATCGCAAAGTTGTCTATTTTATTAGCACATGTACTATTTAACAGCTGCTACCAACTAGAGAACAGCTCTCCTGGATCCCGATTGTTCAGATAGAAATCACGCTTCAAAACTTTTCATCATGATTCATTAAATATGTTGGTAGAAAGGTGTATCATTTCTTAAGATGTGTTGCTTTATAATCTATGTACATGTTTCAATCAGACTTTTGATACAATTACAAAATATAATGCAAAATGGCATTAGTCTTCTTGAGAAATCCATGTTCTAGAGGTAACTCTATAAATTGATGGAATAACTCGCCAACTTTGTATTAGTAAAACAATGTTTTTATTTGGAAGTTGTTTAGAACGTCGGGAAGCTGTGGGGTACGAATGAAAAGTTATATTAAAAGATTCAAACGTTGCCCTGAATGTCACAAAATGTCTAGAATGTTCAAAAAATTTATATGAACAAAGCTATTTTACGAAACCAAAATGACAGGGCGTAGTGTCACTTGTGGTTTTATTTTTCTAAAATAGATTCAATTAACATTATGTTGTATGAATAGTTTTCAAACATTTTAAAATAAAATATCAAATAATCTGTTCTATTTTTGACTGATCTTGTTCGGGGATAAACAATTACAAAAAGATGTTTAATTTTGTATCAATGCGGGAAAAATAACAACCACATCATTGACCAAATTGAGTTGACTGGTTATTATTTGAAAAAAAATTTTCCCAAGTATTCTACTTAAACGACAAATCGTACTGTTTAAAATCACTCATTCAATGCGAGTCTGTGAGGATGACATGCATCCTTAAACCAATATTTTATATGCGTTTTTATTATGTCAATAAATATTATCACGATGACATTTGCGCATGGCATGAAGTATCAGGATTATTATCGAACTAATCATGATTGTTTGAAATGAATCATCATACATATTTTTCATTGATTGTTAGGTTGTATCACACCTCTATTTCCAGAGGCAATTTGATAAACCCTTTCAGTTTAGTTTCTATCTCTTATCTCCTTAATAACTACCAAAATATTGCTATATCGGTTTTTAAGATATGTGCGTATAAGCTTACATGAAAGTAGTGCTTCCATTTTGAAATATCCATACTACTAATTAAGGTTTGAATCCCATGTGATGACTTGAGTCCAACATTGATAAAAGCACGTCCACCTGGTTTCAAGCAGTCATAAATTCCTCTCAGTGTGACTGATTTCCAATTCTTGATGTACGGCAGAACATAGTAACACAGCACTTTATCAAAGGTATTGTTCCAGCTTTCTTTAAAACCGTCTGCATTTCCAGCATCAGCTACAATATATTGTATCCTCGGGTCGCTGTTCATCTCTTTAGCAGTGTCAATCATTCCCTGGTTAGTGTCCAGTGCTGAAAACGGATGTCATGGTTATGTTACACTTAAAACAATTGAACGTGTATGTGCAATGCTTGGGGTGACTCAAATATTAATAGCATAAACATGCAATATTCGTTTGTATCACCGTTCACTTGGTGAAACCCGATCACGAATGTGTTTGTTGAAAATTAAACAGGTGGACACTTTATGTTCGCCGGCTAGTGGTTGTGACAACCTTTGAACCTGGCTTGAGATCGAACTTACCTGGAGTTGTATTAACCAAAGCATTTAAATTATGAATATTATGCAAATAATTAATAAAACTCCTATGAGTGGTGTGCAAAACTCATAATGGTAAATTATTGACTCGGTTCTATGTGTTACACTGAACGTCGATATACTGACTAAAATTAGCTAGAATTGTACTCGAAATAAAGATGATATTCGTAGATGATCTTACTGTTTATGACGCTACCTAACTATTTTATCTGTTTCTTATAATTCTAGAAGAAATTCTGTTTTGTTTTCTGTCTGTCGCAATTATTGACTTTCTGTCTTCCTAAAAAATATCGAAGAGAACTGCCACTTGAATGAATGACCTTTGACACACGTATCAACTGCAACAGACATGGATTTTAACTCGTGATCACGGCAAGTTCATCGACACTGCAGTCAGACACTCTAATGTCACTCCCAGTTCGATATGGTGGGAAGAATTCCCTCTTACCAATTACTTTCATCGCCTGTGTTTCGTCTACCAAGGCTTCGATAAAATCACCTAATCCACACCCTACATCCAGTAAACAGTCCGTACTGAGTATTGGCATTCTCGTCACCACTTCGTTGACATATTCATTGACGTATGGTTTTCTATATGTCGAGAATGAGTGGAATTCCATTGGATTCATCCTATTTTCTATGGTAAAGTGTTACTTCAAGTGGCAGCAGTTAAAATAAAAGGTTTAATGCATACTGTATGCTAGTAATTACTATGTAAACATGAACTACTTTTATCACAATCAATACTGTTATCTGTTTTAAATCTGCTGGAAGATCATTTGTCAAAAAGAATACCAGTCTGTCTGACAGCTGGTAACGGGGCATTTTTTTTAAAAAAGCCAGTAGTCATGAGAAGAATGATAGTTCTCTTACCCCTGATTGAATGGTTTTATCTCAGATCTTGCGAGTCGGAAAGACAAAAACGGTTGTTGCAGGGATACCACAAAGTATGCAATCGAACAATGCGTGTGAGCAGGACTGTCCATTGCATAACAAGCTGTATACTCGTAATATCCTCAATGCACATACGTGTGTATGTAAATGTAATTTTGAATTGTTGAAATGTAACTAAATTCTGAAAGTCGTGATTACGATAAATACACTTCTATCTCTGCAGGCTGTATGAATGTGCGTCTTTATTGGGTTAAACTTGTGCTAATTGTAAGACATATATCAGTATTCGCCCTTGTTCCATTAGACGAATCTTTGAGGGTCCACAGTAACAGAGCACTATTCGAAAGCGCAAGATAATAAAACTCAAGCACACATCAAAATATGATCGCAAACAATCTGACGAGTTGACAATTTAACGTTTATTAGTAAATATTTATTCTAATTCTAGCAAATGCTGACCAATATTTCTTAAATAGACCTAAGACTCCAATAAAGTGTTATAAATTTTCCAAGAGCGCAACTTGAACGAAACAAGTTACCGTCAATGAAATAGTCTATTTGCATAATAGGCACGAGACATTTCTTGAATACCAAGACAAAATCAATATTGAAATGTGCGAGATATGGCTCCGTGGAACAATAATCGTTTAAACCATTTTGGATTTGATGGCAGCGTGTCCGATAAGTCTGATGTAAATGCTATGTTTTTAACTTGATCAGTCAAGGCATGTCAATGCCGCATTATTTGTTTTAAAACAAAATAACCACTAGTCGACCATTCAGTAATTCATTCCAAAATAAAAATTAAAAGAACAAGCCATGCATGGCACAGTCCCAGTTAGTTATCAAATTTAAGATATATAGTTTTGTTTATAGTAATATAGCTGAAATATAACCATGTCAGGAATATGATTTTTTAACATTAAGATGATTGACATTTGTATCTGATTGACAAACAAGTACTTGTCCATATTAAGAGGTATTGCTCTGGAACGGCATTCAAAATCAGCCATTTTGAATACATGTATATATATATAACATGATGTATAACAAATATATACAATTTAAATATAACAAGTCAAAGCATTTAAGAGATATGGCTTTTAGCACAAAAATGACCACCATTCGGCCATTTTGAATAGGATAGTCAAACCAATATATCTGTTTATCTATGACATGATGTATAATGAATATTTAAAATTTGAATATATCAGTCAAAACAAGTTAGAGATATGGGTCTAGAAGCCCATTCATTAAAACAAAATGGCCACCAGACAGCCATTTTGAATCCAATCTGAAAAATAAATGATGTGCATCAGAAACCTGTAATGTCTATAAATATATGTACAAAGTTTGAACGAAATCCATCCATAAATGTCAGAAATGCTTGATATTTGATGATTGTTTAGCACAAGAAAGGCCACCATTTGGCCATTTTGAATAAGATCGTCAAACCAATATATCTGTCTATCTATGACATGTATAATGAACATTTAAAATTTGAACATAATCAGTGAAAGCAAGTCAGAGATATGGCACGAGAACCACATTGATTAATACGAAATGGCAGCCAGTCGGCCATTTTGAATCTTACCTGAAAAACAAAATTATTTGCATCAAGGTCCCATAATGTCTAATGTATATACAAAGTTTGAACAAAATCCATCTGTAAACAGCTGAGAAATGCTTGATTTTGATGATTTTTAGCACAAAAATGGCCGCCATTCGGCCATCTTGAATCAGATCGTGAAACAAATTGACGTGCATATGTATAATATCATGTATGATGTATGTGTGAAGTTTGATTGTGATTGGTCCAGGCATTTCTAAGATACAGGTCCGGACGCATGCACAGACGCACGCACAGACACACAGAGGTAAAACATAAGACCCCGTTTTCAGACTGCGTCCGAACAGGGACTAATAGTCGCGTTAGGTTCAATTTGTGTATCAAGTTTAAACAAGAACCATCCATAAATGACTGAAATCTGGAACATGTTTTAATGGCTGCAACGCACCATGAAAAGAATGATGTACACATCTCTGAAATAACGTTGTAAGTTACACATACGCTAATGTTTCTTTCCTAGTTTTATATCTTTATTCGGCAGATTTAGGTGTATATTCAAATTCTGGGTGTTCGTTTGTTGTAGTACCAAGACTGTACACAAGTAAATACAGAAAGCCTGTATGTAAACAAACAAAGGATAGTTTATTAACCATCAAAATGACTGGACAAAAGTTGATTACAAGAACCTTTTACTTTATCTGCACTGCCATTGAAACAAACATTTTCAAGGAAATAGTGACATGCAATGGTGACCATTGTCAATTTTACATACAATTAGCATTATTTAATCATAAACAAAATGCTGGAAAGGTGCGTTTTTTTTTAACTCCAAACAGTAAAATATGCAGATTTTTGTATCTTGTGTCAGTGAATAGTGATATGGTCATCTTTGCTTTAGATCCATTAAAGAATCAGAATAAGAATTCATATTCAAGAGCGAGATGCATCTTCTTTGTGGTATATTACACAACAAAAACAACAGACTGTAAACCATTAATTAATCACTAGTTTCAATTTTGTTGATAAGCAGGGTTCATACAACTATTCCAGCTATGATAAGTCATGAAAATGTAATGCTCATGCAAATTTCACCTGTATCAATGTTGATATTCACCACTAAATTAATGCAATCTGAGTACATGTTAGAAAACTGCATTCTCTATGTTGAGAATGACTTCAGAACTGTAAATTTCTCTAATACATTGCTGCCTGTAGTCAGCGAAATGAGCAATTCAAACCATTAGCAAAATATAAATGAAAATACAGTGAGAATACTTGAAGGGTTTTTCTTTATTGAATTTAAAAATGGTGGTGAAATTCTATACTTTTCTAGGATTTGTCTAAAAGAAGGCCAAATTTCAAAACTTTTCAAAGGCTTTTGTAATTGCAGTATACAAACCCTGGTAAGTGAAATCCGTTAATAGGAAGGCAGGGGAATTACAATAATACCCATTGTAACCCTGTGAAAAATATCAAAATAGTTGAATCAAACACCAGTGAAAATCATGATTCAGTTTTATGTTACACTTAAATACCAAAGAAAATGACAATTTGCATATTCATGATCTGTGTGTGGTGTACAATTTGCTCATTAGAGCTAACTTTGAAAGTAAAGTTGACAAAAAAATAGCTATCACATAATGTGTAAAGTTTTCAATAAATTGAACTTGAAAAATCTAACTGTTCTTCAGTTTGAAAAAAGAAAATGGTGACGAATGACAGTTATTTCGTCCATCTTGAATACATGTATATGTTTTATGCATTAAAAAATTGTTGTTTCGTGCTACATAAACTTGATAGATATATATATATATATATATATATATGACAAAGGAAAATGTTCAAGTTTTCAATCAGCAACGACTTCAGCTTTCTGTTCACTTGTTTCTTCAGTCCTGGGTTGTTTTGTTGATGGTGCTTCATCGCCTTGGCCTTCAAGAACTCGTTTCACCGACTTGGTGTCTTTTTTCTCACCAGCCATTGGTTCGGAGTCGTCGTCAGCTTTAGTATCACCTGCTGATAGAAGTTAAAATAATATCACATATACAAACAGAATGAAACAGTGAGCGTCTCCTGTAAACAGGACCGATTTTGTAAGAATCCAAAATATAAGTTGGGTCAGCTTGTTGGTTACCGAGGTGAGAGATCTTCAAGAGTTAAATATAGCATTTATGTGGATGTTCTGCAGAACACAAATATCATGGACTATATAGTTTCTTCATTTTGCATTTATTTTTTTGTAAAATTTAAAATTCATGCTTTTCATTTAACAAATGCCAAGGCTATGATAAGATGCTTTTCAAGATCACAAATGTATGGTTTTCTATTGTAACAATGATGCCCTGGGAATTAGCAATTAGTTATGACCTAAAAAACTCAGTGCTTCAAATCGATAGGCATAACTATATTAATTAACCTTCGCAGTGTACCATGGGCAAGAAGCCAATCTATGTTGTATTTTGCATTCCATTTAAAATCTATTTTGGGAAATGATGACATTTTATGTTTTCTAAGCAACACAAAGATACAACCAATCAGCACTTGGTTCCATTGAACAACAAAATCAAAGCTAAATTTACAGACTATGTGGCATTGAGAAATTTTGATGAATTAGTAATTGTACCTTCAGGACTGTGATCACCTTCATCACCGCTCTCACCATCACTCTCAAAAACTGTCTTCTTTCCTTCATACTTCACTTCTTTCCTACCTCTTGCTGGTCTACCTTTGAATGGCTTACGTTTTCTTCCTATAAATCAAATTAACACAAAACTATTATATATAAAATTATTGTACCAAGAAAAAATAACATTTCAAGCCCCATTTTCATGAATGTGAAACACACCAAAATCAAACTTGGTTTAGAGTTCATACTGATTAAAACATATCAAACTATAAAACCAGTCAGATAAAAACTGGGTTATTGGAACTACAAGAAATGACATAAACCTTTTAAGTTCAACATCAATCCCGCGGATACAACATACATGCAATATTGCTGTCTACACTTAATTTGTACTAGCCCTGGCCAACAGAATTGTTTTTTAATCAGTCATCAGCTGCCCATCCAAAACACTGCAATGAGATGGATGCATAGTAAAATGATGCACACTGTTTGCATCAAAATAATGACAAACAAGTAACGACCAGAACCTTTATTTTGACTGACAAATTTTAATTAAACTTCAAATTTGACACAATTTGCTGAAATCAAAGGTAATCCAAGTTAGGTTCCTGCTGGTGCACATATGCACATTCCAGGTATTCTGTCTTGCACATCCACCTAATTTTACTATAGTAGAATCCATGACTGAACACCAAGCTGATGTTCACTCTGACACGCTGTGGGATCGAGGGCTAAATTTATAGAATATAGAAATCAGCTGGTAGGGAGTCAAATCAAATGT